TCCATCGAGTTGTGTTGTGAGAGTGATTTTCTGTGGGTTTTTTTTGCTTGTTTTGGTACAAGTAGATGAAGATGATGCATGTCCACTTCAAGTCATTACTCCGAAAGGATATTGGACATGCAAACAATGCTTATCCTTCCTCTCCTTTTGTTCAAGCGGATGCCTTCTCCATTCAAAGAACAAGAACCTCCTTGACTCGGGGAGGAGGGGATTAGAGAACAAATTGACAATTGTGAAGCTTATAAACCATTGAAAAACCAATCCTATGAAGCATGGTACGATAATGTCAAAGTTTCAGAGAGATGGTCACGGTACACTACTAGTAGCATCGATACTATCTTTACTTAATCACCTGTGCAACCAATAGGTGTGATGTTTCTATGCAAAAGGTCTCAATACAATTAGAAGTGGAAACATTTGATATAAGTTGTGATTTTTTTGGTAAGATAGCCGATGTGAAACCTTTTACTTTATTCAACACGCCCCTCACGTAGGACCACTTTGGAGTGGGTCAGACGTGGAGCTACATTGGTAATGTTTATAAGTGAACCCAATAATTTGACAACAGATTTGAAAACCCACTCTGTTACCATGTCAAAATTTTGAGAATTTTTGTGTATTATTCTAATCCGTTATGAAGGCAAATACATGTAATATACAAGAGACTATACATGGTAATTATACGGCAGTCAACTAGGAGACCATACATGGCAACTTTCATTCAATTTGTAGGGGGAACCTTTATATGAGATTGTATAGGTCCCGATTTTCTTTTCAACATTCTTGCTGAGGATATAAACTTATCAATTATAATTGATTGAATAAATTGTACCTTTCAACAAAAAATACTAGGAGACTCAATTGGGTTGGGTTGCTAATAATGCTCATGTTAACAGATAAGAAGTGGACATTTTTTAATTAGTTTTATACTTTTTTAATTTTTGAATCCATTCCGCTCTCAAATTGAGAAATTTTGAGTTTTTACGAATTGCAGAACCCTCCACTCTCGTATTCGCGCACCATAATCCTAACTTGACCAATATTTTTTCTTTTACAAGTGATTGGATAACGTAAACTAATTCATCTAAACTAATGGAATGAAAGTTAAAATTAAAGACCTATTGGGTTAAAGAGGAAGACATTATTCACTGTGTTTGCGTCGAGAATATTCCACTCTATATCAAGGGCGGTTTGTCCACCTCTAAATCAAGGGTCTAACCCTAGTTCCTAGGTTGGCAGCAAAACAAAACTTTCGGGACCTGGCTTCTCTACCCTCCCACTTCCCATACACTTTCATCCCCTTCTATTTGTGTGGTCACGGTTAAACCACGTCAACATTTTATATTACTATTGATTTTTGTCTTATTATCTCTATAAAAAAAATCAATATAAAATGTTGACGTGGCTTAACCGTGACCACACATAATAGGAGGGGATGAGAGTGCATGGGAAGTGAGAGGGCAGAGAAGTCGGGTCCAAACTTTCGACACATCACCTACCGAAAACATAGTGTTGTAGCCTGTAGCCGTCGGTGTTCTTTTCTATCTCTACTTTTTCTTCTTGAGTCATGGCAAAATCATTTGCTTTATGGTAAAGACTTCAGACTCTTTTGAAAGTACTTTTAAAATTATTGAAACGTTTTTAGAAAAAATATTTTTAGGTTTTTGAAGCACTTCAAGTGCTGACACATAATTGGTGTTTTTTTTTAGAAAATACTTAAAGTGTTTTTTTAGTATTCACTTCATTTTTATTAAAGATTGGTTCGAAATCATTTTTACTAGAAACGTTTTTAATCATTTTAAAAACAATTCAAAACAAGCTCTTTATATAATTAGAGTTGTTTTTATTTTTTATGAAGAGCAACGATAGAGCATTTCATTAGATCAAAAGAAGCCTGATAACAACCATTACATCTGAGGGAGGGGAGCAAGAAACAGCCCCTCTCAATAACTATCAACCATTACAATCCAACACAAAATGATCAGTTAACACATCTAGAGGTTCCTCGAACTAAGACCGGAGAACCTCACAATGAAGGGCAAGCTTAGTGAGTTGGTAGGCCATTTCATTAGCCTGTCGTCGAACATGGGTAGAAGAACCTCCAGCGATCGAAGACAAAAATAGCTTTAGCATCCTCGATAGCAGGACCGATGAAGAACCTATTAACCGAAGGCTTACATAAAGCCGTCACGATATGGAGGGTATCACTTTCTAAAATGAAATTTTGATAGCCCCTTTCAACAAGGAACACACACAACGACAGACCTTCCCTCACCGCCAAAGCCTCAATATGAGCCGGGGAGAAACACACTCTCGAAACGAGCAACCCGCGCAGCAACAAAATCACCATGGAAATTCCTCGCAATGATGCCTACACCACTACGATTAGAAATCTCATTCCAAGAACCGTCTACGTTCACCTTGATGTGTCCTGGGGGCGGGGGCACCCGACAATCTGGGGACGGGCAGAACCACCAACAACAGGCAATTGGGCCTTCAAGAACTCCGCCAACCCTAAACCAATCCTTTTGAGTCACACAATTACAGATGAGACTTGTAAGACATAATAATATATTGGATCATTGTCCAATTTGAAAAATCTTGTCTTAGCGTATACAAGTTCACTAAACATAAGTGTTGATACTAGATTAAATCTAAAATAGTTCAATCTAAGTCAAGCCACCAAATGAGGACGATAACAAGATATGATTTTGCTTGAAAAACTTAAGGGTTTTAGTTGTGCCTTCTCGAGTCAGGTTTGTGATAAGAACATATTTCTTTAACACATCAGCATAAGTGTCAAATTGCGAAGCACGATTAACATGATAATATATAATATACATTTATATTTTGTCATTAAATTGAATACATTAGAATAAAAGGATTAAGTACCATTCCAAATTGGTATAAACCTTTTTAAACACTCCAAACAAGTACTCAACCTATTGACAATGTCGCATCCATTAAGTCACAGTTAACTTTTCCGTTAAATGTACATGTGGCAATAATAGGTTCCACTTATTTGCTTACTTGGACACTAAAATAATAACAAACAAAAAAAATCATAAAAAAAAAGACATGAAAATGAAAAAAAATAAAAAAAATAAACAAATTCACGAATTAAATGAAAAAAATGAAGACTGGGAAATCTTCTAACAAGGAAGAGGGTTAAAAATTCATATAGGGTTTCAATGAGCTTGTTTATGCTCATGTGAATTCCTCATTTGTCGATCTCTAGCTAGTAAAGTTTCGAGTTCTTCTTTGTGGGCGGTGAAGATGGTGGCAGCTGCATCATGACAGTTCATACCATTTCAGCAACCTCCATGACCTTCTTCTCGATTTTGGTAGCTTGAGTTGTAGGGTGAAGTTTGTGGTTGTATGCAGGGTTTGGAGGTTATGGCCTAAAAGGGGTGGTAGTGACCATTAATTAGTGGAGGCCATGCTTTCATGATATTCTTATTGATGTTAGAGACAAAGTATGCCTTAGTTAATCTAACAAAAATTTCAATGAGGCTTAACGAATGTGACATTTTCAATAAGTTGAGTACTTGCTTGGAATGTTTAAAAAGGTTGAGACCAATTTAGAATTACACTAAAAAGTTGGAGAATTTTAGGTACTTAATCCTAAAAAAAATCAAGCTAGGGAATAAGATAGAATGTGTGAATGCGAAACCGAAACCCTAAATTCTAATATTAAGTTTAGATTTCAGTTAAGGTTTCTTCCTTTTTTTTAATTTTAGTTTTAATTTTCCAGATTTTTTTTTTTCAGTTTTTTTTTAATCTTTAATATTAGTTAAAATCCACATAAGCATTTATGTCATTTAATGAATAAATAAGAATCATTGGATGTCATGTCATCAAAAGGCTTAAAAATAGTGTAAAAATATTTGTCCCTTGATCCTATCCCTATATATATATATATATATAGAAGAAGAAACCAAGCAAAACAAATATGATGATAGCCACAATTGATGCAACGTAACTTCTAAATAATATAAAGCTCGGATATTACCGGGAGATGACAATGGTAGACTTGGCTTGCTTCTCACTCATCAGTTCCTTGCCCTGCTACAAATCACTTCTTATGTACGATGTTTGGGATGTGAGAAATCTTGGGCCACTCGTCTCCACTGCCTTGTTCAAAGCGCTCTGAAACTATCGGACAATCCTCAATGATAAGATCCTGCATTGGAAACCATCGGACAATCCTCAATGAGAAATGAGTCTGACTTTGTTTTTTTTACGATTCTGCTAGGAACTATCATGACAATATCAAAGGATCGAGTGAAGCCATCTCCACAACCAGACAGCTGGAAATTGAGGGAGATCTTTGCTACTGGCATTGTCCTTGGAGGTTACTTGGCACTAATGACAGTAGTCTTCTTCTGGCTTATGAATGATACCGACTTCTTCTCGGTGGGAATATACAGTTCTTTGTTTTCCATTAATATATAAGCTATTTAGGTCACAGTTATTTGGGCAAATAAGTTCATTCTTCTGATTTTATTTAATTATTTTCATAATGCAGGACAAGTTTCATGTGAGATCTTTGAGGGATAGGCCTGAGCGATGGCGGTGTTGTACTTACAAGTGAGTATTGTGAGCCAAGCCCTTATTTTCATCACAAGGTCTCGTAGCTGGTCTTTTGTTGAACGCCCTGGACTTCTCTTATTTGGAGCTTTCATGATTGCTCAATTGGTAAGCAAACTGATTACCTTTATAATTTTACCTAATTGCTCAACTGGATGCTTAAGGTTTTAAAAGTTGTAGTAATTTCCAATAATGTTAAGACAATTAATCTAGAAATTTGTACATTTTGAAAGTAAGAATTTTACTCCGTTAGCAAGCTTAAAAACCTGTGTGATATTTTACTTGGTTGCTCTCGTATGTGTATGACAAAAGAATTTTCCTTTTTTTTTTTTTTTTTTTTTTTTTTTAAATAACTCATTCCGCAAAATGGCAGTCTATGCAAACTGGGGTTTTGCACGGATAAAGGGAGCTGGCTAGGGGTGGGCTGGTGTCATGTGGCTTTACAGTATAGTGACATATGTCCCTCGTGACTTTCTTAAATTCGCAATCCGATACATTCAAAGCGGAAAGGCGTGGAATAATCTTTTGGAGAACAAGGTATGTTGCATTCCGCGCTACCCAACAATATAAGTTAGATTCATGTTTCTTGCCACAATTTACCTTATTGTGTCTTCCCACCAGACTGCCTTCACTACAAAGAAAGATTATGGGAAAGAGGAGAGAGAAGCACAGTGGGCTGCAGCACAGAGGACCCTTCACGGCCTTCAGCCACCTGAAATGAACAACCTTTTCTATGAGAAGAACAGCTACAGGGAGCTTTCTGAGATTGCAGAACAAGCCAAGCGGAGGGCTGAGGTTGCAAGGTAAGGACCGTTTGCACTCATACATAGATTTAGAATCAGGCTTGTCTCCGTAATGATGTCTGCCGGTTCTGTTTCTTGTTTCCTGGAAAATGCTTCATCTTGCATTGTTTTGCTTTGCTGGTTGGACTTGTTCCACGTGAGAATTGAGTTCTAAAAGAGCTTTTCGTTTTGGTTGCAGGCTTCGGGAGTTGCATACGCTGAAGGGTCATGTTGAGTCAGTTGTGAAGCTGAAAGGACTTGACATCGATACAATTCAACAACATTATACAGTTTGATGAGCTTTTCAAAAGGGAAACACACAGAGAGACTTAAGTTTGTACCTTCAAGTGACGAGCGAGTAGCAAAAATTAATGACGATGATGATGAAGCGCTTAGCAATAACCTTGTGTCTTTAGATTAGGTTGCAACTAGTTTACTTTTGATGTTAAATTTGGCCAGAGGATTCTCCTCATTTGTAGCCAAATAACATGAAGTTTACGGTTTGGTTGTTTTTACTCACATATCGGCTTTTCAATGTGAAGGCTGTTGCATATGCTTTTGCATTATTACTGTACAGAGTAGGAGACTAAAAACAAGAAATAAGGAAGGATCCAATATTAGTATGTGTTTTATTTTCCCCTGAAATTTTTGGTTGTGTGAAAAGGTGGCAACTTTTTCTCTTGGGTTTTCTCATGTCTGTAAAATAATCTGACTTGTTCATGGGTTTTACTAATAAGGGAATCTGCTTTAACTCCAAATCACGATCGTTTGGAGTCTTGGACATGGACTTTCGTGCCATATCATTCGTTCGCTCAAAATTTACACAAGGACAGTCCTTGCATTTAGTCTAGCACGGACACATTCCGATGGACCTGAATGCTGGGAAAGGGATTTCACAACATCCCTTGTGGCCAAGGCCAAAATGTCAGCACAGGTAACCTTGTTCCTGCAATTAGGCACTCTATCAACAGTAGCCTTGGCTTTGATCACCGTGTCAAACGAGTGAGTCCATGGCAATGTGAAGTCCATGGCTACGTGTTCACCGAATTTTTAAACGAAACAATTTCGATAATTTATTTGTATATCATCACCATGCTGGTTGCAAAGATTACGATAAGACTATTGTGTAACAGGTTGCTGCCATACGATGTATTGATGGGCACATGTTACGCCTCTATGAACCTGCTTAGGAGTTTCAGAAGCAAACCCCTTGAAAAAGGTGTGACGAGCTGAGGATGAAAATAGGTTGCTTTGACGAGCTGAGGATGAAAATAGGGTGCTTCGAGCTTTCGTTAGTGAATCATGAAATCTAATAGAGGAGGGTCCACCAACACATGCGAGTCTCTTCTCTATTAGAGAGACGGCACGAATGATAGTACAACTAGATGGTAGAAATAGCATTTTTTATCCAAATTTGCTCTTGTTTTAGCCTAGTAATCATCTTGCGAATACGTACGTAGTACTACTTTACCGCAAAACAGCAAAGGCTATACCAGCTCCATTTTTGTTGTTGCATTAGGAAGAGTTTGTGACAAATTCAACACGAAACAACAAGAGCATATGCTGCTGGAGCCTGGACTAGAAGCACAAATCAAACGCGCAAGGAAAAAAAAAACATCAGAAAAAGTACCCAACTAAAGTGTTTCGTACATATATTACATATAGGCACGCACACACTTGAGAGAGAATTCGGCAAGTACCAATTTCAGGAACATCTATTCTATATTTATACGGGGGATGTGAGAAATCTTGGGCCAATCTTCCCCTGTCTCTCTTCGGAATCGTTCTTTTAACAGCGGACACTCTTTGATAAGCAGATGAGAAAGAGATGTGGGAAGCCATTCTCCTGGCAAGCACCCGATATTATGGCACTCCAAAATAGCCAACCTTTTCAGAGATTTGGGCGCTACTTCTGTAAAGCCCTGGAGCTCAGGGCATCCTTCTATTCTGAGGTATTCAAGAGAGGTGAGTTGTCTCAAAACCTTGCCTTGGATGGTTGTAAGATTTGGATGAAAGCGGATGGAGAGACTAGTGAGAGTGGCGGGCAGCAAACCCTCTTCCGGAAACGAACATCCCATTTCTTCTCCACCTTCTTCACTGAAACTGATTTCCAACATTCTAAGAGAGTTGAGTCTTGTTAAACCCCACAGTGAGCGGTTTGCAGCGAGTTTTCTACAACACTAAAAAAAAGGTCTTGTATATTTGACGCCAGCCCTCCTTGAGGAAATGATTCCACTTCTGGACAGCCAATTACCATCAATTTCTGAAGAGACGGTAGAAAGGTATGCATTTGTTCTGGCAACGACCTCAATTTCTTGCATCGATAGATAAGCAGCTCCTCCAATTTGGGCGCATCCATCCCTCCATCTGGAAAACATACAAAATTTGGGCAGTCGACCATTTCCAAGTGAACGAGGGAAAGGAATTTAGGGCATTTAGATTCCACATGTGCAAGTGAACCACTAAAGGACTCCAGACCATTCAATTTTACACTTTCAAGACTTTGCAGCTTCTCCAACGGTAATATCTCAGTCAGCTTGGGACAATTTCTCAATTCAAGCTCACGAAGATTAGGAAACATTATTGTGGTGTTGCCTCTGCTTCCATCGTAATAGGACCACTTTTCCCACTCCAACATATCTTCCAAGTGCAATTCTTGTAGAGATCTAAATGGAGCACTCCCACAAGTATCGTTACCGTAAAACTCGCTACCAATCTCAACCACGTTATTCATCCCTAGAACATGAAGCTCTTTGAGGGAGGGTAGTTGCCCAAGTGGTGGCAATAAGCAGCAATGCTTGCAATCACCAAGTGCAATACGAGATAGTTTAGAGAAATACGGATCTCCTAACCAACCTGGAAATGTTAAACCCCCGTAAGACCTAATTATAAGTTGTTTAAGGTTGGAGCTTGTTGAGCACTTCTCTGTCATTTTCTGGATCATGATTACTAGCATCATAAGCTCTTCCCCATATCAAGAAAAGTAGGTTCAGATTCTCCTTGTTGCTCATGATATCTGCCTCCAAAGCATTCCCCTTAACGTTACCAACTCCTGAGATTTTAAGGCTTCTGCGCAAATGCTGAAGCTCTTTTAACTCTCCAATCCTTTGAGCTGTTTGTTTGTCCAACACAAAATCGCTTAATGTTTGGAGATTTTTCAATTTACACATCCCTGCAGGCATCTCTTTGATCTCTGTTTCTCGGATGTTGAGATGGCGCAAGTTGATTAGCCTTCCCAAATTGGTTGGTAGTTGAATCAGCTCAAGACAAAAATACAATAACAAGGTGTGTAAATTGTACAAGGTGCACACCGTCGCAGGTAATTCTCTTATTTTAGTGTACGACACGTCCAAATGCCTTAAGTGTTTTAAGTTGCCAATTGAGCTAGGCAACTCAACGATATCACAACATGATAACTTGATCACTCTTAAACATGGTAGATTTGGTAATAAATCAACAAGTGTGTAGTTCAATACCAACTTATTGCAGTCTTTGTAGCCTCCTTCAAGTTGTAGAAAGGTGTGCAAGTGCTTAGCCTCATCCAGCGCCTCAAATTTCTGAATGTCATGACCTCCAAATTCCATGAATGCAAAGTGACGAGTTTTGCATAAATTTTTGTTGGGCGGCTGATTTTCCTCCAATCTTAAACAAAATTCTCCAGCTACAAACTTTGCTAAATCATGGTGAAACATAACATACCCAACTCGTCTAATGAATGTTGAAAGAAAGACCCTGATACTAGAATATCAAAGTGATCACTTCCAACATCTTCCATTGCCTCCTTCCCGTGGGGTGTAAGAGGTCTTCAGCCATCCACCATGAAATTAACGTTGAACGTTGAAAGTTGTAACCTTTAGGAAATATTGCACAATAAGCAAAACAACGTTTGAGATGCGGAGGTAGATATTGGTAACTTAACCGTAGAGCTGGCAAAACCTCATAATTTGGCAACTCCCATAAGTCGCTCTTCCATATCTTTTCCCATTCCCTTCGATTCAAAACAGAGTGTAACAGGCCCCCTAATGATTTTATAGCTAAAGGAAGGCCTTGACACTTGTTAACAATTTTCCTTCCAATGACTTCAAGATACGGATGGGCAGTAATAACACTGTCTTCCGTGAAGGCATGCTTTGCAAATAACAACCAAGAATCGTCCTCGGATATTCCCTCCGCAGCTATTGAAGTGAGTCATCAAGTTATTCCAGAGAAGATAATCCTCACTCCAGACATCATCAAGAACGAAGAGGAACTTTTTTCCTGTCAAAACCTCCTCCAATTCTTCAGAAAGCAGATCCAGATCTGTGATCGTGCAAGGGTTTTTTGTGATCTTCCCATGTATCGTTTGTGCTATTTGAAGAATATCAATTTCTACTCCGACAAAAACCCATGCTTGGACATCAAAGTCACCCTTGACATCTTTGTACACAAGTTGGGCAAGGGTGGACTTCCCGATCCCTCCCATGCCCACGATGGGAAGCACTCCTATCTTAGGACCAGTCGGATCATTCAAACGTAATGCTTCAAGGCTCCTTTTTTTGGTCATTTTCCCTTCCGAAGACGGCAGACTCATCGACCCGAGAAGTAGTTTGACGAGTTCTTTCTTGTGGCCTATGTTGAACTCCTTCTTTCAGACCATGAACATCTCTTTCATTGGGAATGAGGTTTAATACCCCCAGAATGTTTGATATCTTCGGTTCAAGAGAGTTGTGAAATTCATCAGAGTCCAACCCTTCCTCTCCGTCCGATGAATTTCACAACTCTCTTGAACCGAAGATATCAAACATTCTGAGGTGTTAAACCTCATTCTCAATGAAAGAGACGTTCATGGTCTGAAAGAAGGAGTTCAACATAGGCCACAAGAAAGAACTCGTCAAACTACTTCGCGGATCGATGAGTCTGCCGTCTTCGGAAGGAAAAAGGAGAAAAAAAGGATCCTTGAAGCATTACGTTTGAATGATCCGACTGGCCCTAAGATAGGAGTGCTTCCCATGGTGGGCATGGGAGGGATCGGGAAGTCGGTTGGAATCTGAAATTCATCGGACGGAGAAGAAGGGTTGGACTCTGATCTCGAGATCCCGCTTGTGCTGCTGCTAGCTGCAGGAGAATGGTCATCCTCACCTTCCAGCTGGCGTCGAAGAGCTTCAGCTTTGATCTCGTCCAGCAACTCTCCTACACAGTAGATAGCTTCTTTGAGATCGTCGAGCCACTTCCTCACGGTCGGGCTTGTCATCTGCTTCTCCTCGGCATCGTCAACCAGCTTGTCAGCGGTGAGCAACTTGAGCTTCAACTCTCTCATGAGCAGCTCGTTTTTCTTCCCAGAGATGAAATCGAGGACGGGACGGGAAGCTATCCGGTCGAACAAAACAGAGAGGAAAGAAGAGAGAAAAGCTCCGCCTACCAACTCAGCCATGGTCATAATGTACTCATTCTTCTGTATTAATTCTTCTGTATTAATGTACCACTTTGTTATATGTGAAATGTATAATTTTTTTGTAAAATATATCAATTTTTTTAACACTATAGATACATTCTTTTGTCATTTATTATTTCTTATTGTTACATAGTTTATATCCATTTATTCAATCAAAATGTTTGAATTTATTTATTGTAACAGTTTCTAATAGTATTATAATGAGAGACTTTAAATTTATAGGATTATAAATCTCATAAAATATCAAACAATTAATGTCAAAACTATAAAAATATAAATATTAATAGTAACATAATGAGGTGTACAAAGTCAAGGGACTTTGATCAAACTTTAAAAACCATTAAGGTTTTAATCAAATAATATTAAAGATTAGGAATCGCATCTAAAATATTCCTTCTCTTTTTTTTTTAATTTTTTTATTTATTAAGGAGTGATTAGTTAAGATACGATTAAGTCTTGAGGGAAACAGAATTCAAACGCCAGGCTTCTTTTTGGGGCTCAAGTAAAACAAGTTAAGATATGATTTTTTTTTTTAAAAGCGTGGTACTATCCATCCATCTTATTTAACTTTTCATACACTTTTTGCTAATTTTTATCATTTGATTATTTTCAATGCATTTAATTTAACGGTAAAAAATTGAGAGCATTGTATACAAAATAAAAAGAGGTGTGAGTGATAGCACCACACTTCCAAAACTATCTACTAGCAGCGATAGTGTTAGTTGCTGTGGGATTTTTTTATAAGAAAACTAATGAAAATGGTTTGAAAACTTTGAGTTTTAATCAAAATGACAAAAAGGTGTTGCATATAAATAGTGTCATAAGTGACTTTTTTTTTTTTGAATAATCGATATTATCTACACTAAGGGGAGGGGTTGGACTTAACCTCATAATGGGCTAGCAATAAATTGGTGCAAATTCGCCTTTGACGAGATTTGAACCTAAGACCTCTCACTTATCAGTGAAGATAAATACCACTAGACCGTAGTACTAGTGGCATAAGTGACTTTTTATAATAAAATTTTCCTTTTTCATTAAAACGAACAATACTGGAAGGAAGTTTTGTTCTTCTTTTTACACGTATTGCTTTTGGGTCTAGTATAGAAATTAAATGATGTTTCTTAAGAAATAAGTCTGCAAATCTGAAATGAAATAAAAAAGAAGAAATAGTTTGGATTGTGGGGATGAGCTACTTTTGCTTGCTACTAGAGTACTAGTTTTGCTTGCTACTAGAGTATAAGTTTCACATGGGATGTTTCAGTGACTTTTGTTTTGATCCCAAAAACTTAAAAGTTGGAACATGAAACGTGCTTTATGGAGTCTGACAACTTTTACCCAGTCAATACCTACTTTTCCTCCTCCAACTGAAATCTGCACTTCTAATAGCATTGGATTTTTTTTAATCGAAGAAAAACTTCAAGTTTAAGTTTAGTAACGCGTTAAGTAGCTCGCTTAAAAAGTAGATTCGTAAAAATGAAACTCAATAAAATTAACGGAGACCACATAAATGGTAGATCATGTGATTTAATTCGGATAATGATCGAGAAAGCAAGATACATAATTTTTTCACTGATATAATTGTATCATCAGAAGTTTACTTATTGAAGTTAAATCATAACCTGCTTGACTAGTGTGTTATTATTGTCCGATCTTGGACTAGAAAAGCTTTATTTGCTGGGATTGGGACAATACTATACAACTACTATCCTTGATTGAAAATGACTTTACCACTTCTCGCGAATTCCCTTCAATTCTTAATCATCCAGACATAGATCTATTGCAGCTATACATACGAAATTATGAATTGTTGTTGGACTTGGAAAGAAAGCAAAACTGTGTTATTATCATGGTTATTATCGATTCCAACAAAATTAACTTTTAAATTTTATCGAATTAGATCCTTTAAATTTATATATCTAAAATATACTTATGAAGTTGTTCCAATTTATTGATTGATACTAACCTTATATTCTTGCCCTTGAGCCAGAATAGCCGTTTTCATTTTCAAGTGTTGTTCGATAGATTGCGTACTAATCAATATTCGATTGATATTCTAATTCACCAGTATATGTAACTATTCTTACAATACGAAATTCGATATCAAATTTCCAAGCCACAGGCAGGATTTGCTTATCTTAGTTGCAGAAGCTTTTTGCAGGACCTTCAAATGTCATCAGGACACCAAAAGTTTTTCATGAGGTTTGGTGTTTGACTTTAATCTACATAATTTAGTTGTTTTTTAGACAATTTAATTCTAAGACAATGCCTTAGAGATGTTGCTTAATCGGAATCTATGGTTTTAGGAATTCCATCGAAGCAAAAAGCATGATCTTGACCATCAACTTCCCCCTACTGAAATTTCAAGTGAAATTTTGATCATATTCACCGATGCCATGAGAACTTGCAGGCATTGGAAAGTAATTCCTAGTATTTCCTTAAGGGTGCGTTTATTGCGCCGGACTGTCTCGGACTAGACTAGCTGCCGGGACTAAACTGGACTGGCTTAGACTGGACTAAGCTGGACTAACTTAGTGAAGCGTTTGGTGTAATGTCGGACTAAGAAGCAGGATAAGAAAAACAGTACTGTTCACCAGATTTGTGTTTGCTTAGACTAGGACTACAAATTTTTGCCATTGTGTAATAGAGTAATGCTACAAATCTCATGATATGGGTTAATTGGAGCATATTTTTGCCATGTATATTATGAATCTTAAAAAAAATTGACAATTGTTTTGTTTCTATTACCTGCTAATAGAATTGGGTTTAATTTGCAAATGTAGCTTGATTTAAACTCTATCACCCAACAGAAGAAAAATAATAGTGCCCAATACATGCAACTTCAACAAATACAAGTACATAAGAAGATCTCCATAATTTAGAAAATCCTAGTTAACATTAGTTAACATTAGCCAAAATAGATCTCCATAATTTACAAAATGGCTAGTTAACATAAGTCAAAATACTAGTGCAAAACTAAGTTATAAGCCATAACATAAGATTTTATGATTAATAAAATACATCCATGTTAACATTAATAAAATACATCCATGTTAACATTAGCCAAAATCCTCATCCGCTTGCGTTATCGCTTAAAAACCTTTGGACGAACACTTTCTTAAGTTCCGGTTTGATTGCCCTGAACACTCCCACATTTTTTGGTTTATCCAAAATAAGAGACAATGCATCAATTTGATCCATAGGAGAGAGACCCATTGCTTCAAGTTCATTAGCTATGTCAGTATGATCTGCAGTACCTTGAACTAAAGCTTCAGTTACCATTTGCATCCTCTTCCCACTTTCAACATAAAAATCTTTCAGTCCACTGATAATTGCCTCGGTTCCATCACTTGAACTTCCCACAGCTCTTTTCATCTTTCTTTGGCTATTTTCAGATGGGGTGCTTTGTTGGCTTTGTTGGTTCATTGAAGAAACAAAATTTTCACCTCCAATATCACTTTCACCAACATGATCATGACTTTGTTCCTCCACCATTTGAGCAGGGGTTTCGGCTACATTACCCGTAACCCGATCTTTTCCAAATATATATGCAAATCTATCAAACAGTGGAAAAGGTTTGATTCTCCATCCATCGGCTTCTTTATTTCTCTAAGATTATATCAACATAGCAAAACTAAAATTTAGCATGCGTGACAAATATAGCAGCAATAATATAACTAATGTATAAATAAAATAGGATATGAACCTGCACATAAGTTTGCCATGAGTCATCACTATCAACTTCAACGCACTTTTTGACATCATTCCATGCAAATCCACTTGTGTTTATCATGTCAACGACCATACTATATGTTTTTTTCCATTTCTTCAACTTGAACTCAATATGTGGATTTGCCTTTATATTTGAATGAGGACATAAAACATTGACAGCTTTTGCTATTTCAACCAAAGTACCTTGTTTGAAAGCACCGGTGTCACACCGTTGCTTCCGAGCAACAAAATCCTCAAGAACTCCTAGTAATACTTCTTCCTCAAATGCTTCCCATTTACGCCTTCTTCCTTTTGGCTCTTGAGTAGCATTCAAAATATTTTCGTTATCCATACCTAAACAAAAAATATTTTAATGAAGGAAAATACCATACAAATAATCAATTTGCATAATATCCAATCAACTTGCATAATATCCAATCAACTTGCATAATATCCAATTAATTTGCATACCATCCAATCATTGTGCTAATATCTAACAAATGCATGATAAAAAGGAATACTAAAATAAAATGTTATCATTAACACATATAGCTAGTTCGGTTGCTAGTTCCTAATTGCTCTCCACTCGTTATACATTTCCTGAGCCATGTCATTCCTCTTTGCAGTCCACTGGTCAGATGTTTGAACACTACCAACATATTCACCTTCTTTTGTATTTTGTCCATCTTCTATTATTGGCAAATTCTCCATTGGATCTACAGACATCTCTTGCCTAATAAGATTGTGTAGTAGACAACAAGCGGTAATTATTCGACCTTGTGTCCTTATCGGATAGAAAGATGGACTCCTTAGTATCGACCACCTTCCTTTTAGCAAGCCAAAACAGCATTCAATTACATTCCTTGCCTTAGAATGCTTCATGTTAAAATATTCTTCCTTATTAGAAGGTGTTCGTCCCTCCCATTCAGATAAATGATAAGGTATTCCTCTATAGGGTGCAAGGAATCCTTCACCATTTGTATAACCACCATCTACAAGGTAATAATAACCTAATGAAAAAAAAAAACAGACCTTATTAGTGTTTTGTAGTTGACAAACAGAACTAGACCTAACTTACAAAGTTGAGACTAAGTAATAGTCTTACCCGCTGGTACCTTAAAACCATTAGGCCTAGTAATTGCATCATGTAGCACTCTAGAGTCTGATGCGGAACCCTCCCACCCCGGAAACACATATATGAACTACATATCTCCTGAACACACACCTAACACATTAGTTGCGACTCGACCCTTTCTTGTTCGGTATCTTGGTTTGTCAATTTCAGGTACATGCACATCAATGT